CGATAAACAGATAAATTTGCAAGTTCAGAATCTAAATTATTGACAGGCACCATGTAGAATGCTAAAAAAAATTGAAAAATTCAAGAAATCATCGTGAAAATATCTTTATATGTAGGCAAACAATACGATAATGGGTACATTTGTAATTGTCGCAAGACAGCAGTCAGGGCCAAAAAAACATGATCATTTGAAAGCACTAAGCATACATGAATAAATAGGGTTCACAGTGAACAAACCGGATATAAACCTTAGTAAAATCGCAGAGTAGACTAAAATCACCGTTTTACTTGTCCACTAGTCCACTTCGTAAGGCCTTCTAAATTGGAAGGACATCTTGCAAGCTGTCCCACATCTGTTACTGGATCCAGATGACGATTTACAAGCATCAAAGTCGAATGAGTAGATGTGCCGGGAAGAGGTCCAATTGTGATGAAATTCTGTGGTGTGATTGATAAGCTTGGCCCTGTTCCTGAGCCTGTCGGCAAGCGGATCAAACGTTGGCCCGAGCGGTTATCTACAATGCTTGCAGATTTCATCATTCCACCTGCGGGATTCGTGGCCAAGCCGGCCGAGTCACCGGCACTAAAGGCACCGCAATCTGCGGCTACAGTTTCCCCGACTCCACCCAAGCTAAGTCCATGTGATCCGGCAGCTATGAGCATACGTCCAGCAGACGGTGGTCGCTTGATGCAAGCTGAATGATGTGCCACAGGATGCAGGTTCGGCGCCGGAATTTCTACTATGTTCGAGGAAAGATCGGCAGTCGATGTCGAATTCTTTGAAGTCACCAGAGAGTGATTAAAACCCAAATTGGTATTCGAAAGAATCTGACTACAAGCAGCGTCAATAGTATCAGTAACAGTTGCCTCCAGTGCTCCAGTGATACATTTTGGCATGTTGGGACTAGTTGTAATGGAAGAAATTGAAGTGGTGGTTGTGTGAGAGCTAGGATATGTGAGGTGGGCCGGGGCACTGATCGATGGGGACATAGAGGAAAAGTTACACAACTTCACAGCGGGCAAATTGCGTTGGCGAGCCCGATGTGGGATCGGAATAGTGGAGAGACTCCCAGCGATGCCTACACAGGGGCCTCCGCTACTGCCGAGGACATTGGGGCTGACAGACGTGGCAACCACGGCCGCCTCGAGCAGACTAGTTGAGGCTGTGCTACAGGTGGAACGATAAGGAGTTAGGCTTGGCAACGAGTTACCGGAACTAGTTAACAATACTTCGGATAGAGTGGATGGAAATGGACCAGAGACAGTAGCGGCTATTGAAGCTGCCCCAGTAGGAAGACCAAGTCCTACAGCCGGTTTAGCCGTGACCAGCATGCCATTTTGCTCTGCCAGAAGGGTGTGGTACTGCTGTTCAGCGTAAAAAGCAGCAGCACGCTCCCGCTCTTCGTCGAGCACAAGTTGGCCGTCGATATGCTTAAGTTGTGGCAAATTGTATACGAGTACTAAGCGATGCTGTCCTCGACGGGCGACAGGGTTATCTGGAAGCGATATTTCAACTAAGCTACGCAGGCGTCCCAAACTCTCCTCCAACTCGTTCAGATCAGTGAGCTTATTAAATCCCACATATAGTCGTTGAAGGCGCTCTAGATGACCAAGGTGGTGAAGGTCTCGTAAGCGGTTCTCCTCTAAGTGTATCTCTTGTAGGCTCCAATTATAGAGAAAACTGGTTTCACTTAACTTTTTAATACGGTTTCTGTCGAGTACCAGCTCGCGTAGTTGATGCAGCCCTTCGAGACCATCTACTGAAACCAAACTGTTATCCTGCAAGAAGAGCGCCTTCAGAGTAGGGATTCGGTGAAGCTGGAGAGGTTGCAAGGATTTTATTCCATTTTGCGCAAGATGAAGCACCTCCAACCGAGGCATGATCTGCTTGATTGAGTGTCTCCGCTCGTCCAGTGCCGCTAACATAGTAACAGACCCACAAGAAAAAGAGTCGCCGGTATTACGGGGAAAAAGGCATTCAATTCGGTTCTGGTTTAAGCAAAGAGCTTGAAGATTCTCCAAAAATATTAGACCTACAGAAAATAAAAATACTGTGATAATATGTAAACAAGCTTCAATAAATTAGTAGAAGCTGAATGTATACCATACCTGAAAAAGAGGCGAGATGATTGTTGTCCAGATTAAGACTGCGTAAATTTATGAATCTTTCTAATGGAAACAAATCGACTGATTTCAAACCGACTCCGATCATATCCAATTGAACTAAATCAGCAAATTGATCATGCCCAAGACGAGACATTAGAAATTCGCAGGTCATTCTTCCTCCAAACATTTCCTTACCAGTTGTGACTTCCGCATTTGTTACCATGATTCCATCCAAGGCCTTAAGGGATTTTAAATGATGAATTATCTTAAACCGGTAATGGTCCGATGATACTTCTAGGGGAGTTCCATAGAGTTCTAAAATCGTCAGTTCCGGCAGCTGCTTTAAAATAAAGATGCTACGAATATCAGAAATCAAATTATTTCCTAGATACACTTCTTTTAAGCTGGAACATTGTTGAATACCTTCTAATGACTCAATTCTATTATATCCCAAACAAATTCGCTGAAGATCCTTCAGTCTTTCCAAATATGCACCCTTTAGGGAGCTAATATGATTATCACTTAGGTGAAGACTATGAAGTTTTGTTAAGTGCGAAATGTTTTCTATTCTAGAAATGCAATTTCGCTCTAAGGATAACTCTTCTAATTCATCACAGGAAGAAAGGCCGGTTATCTTTGTTATCTCATTATCTCGAAAGGAGGCATAATGTAGATTAATTAGTCGTTCCAAGTTAGATAACTTTGTAAGATGTTGGTTCTCTATAGATAGACTGGTTATTCCGGTAAAAATAGATGAATTTACACAATCAATATGTTTGCCAAAAGTACTTATTTGACGATCCATTAGATAAGTAGCAATTGGTTTAAGAGTCAGATTAGGATGAACCAAGGCATTTGTCAAAGTTCTTCCACCTTCCTGGATGTCAGCCACTTTGATAATACCTTTAATTAGG